TTCGGCGTTAGGCTTTAGGCGTTAGGCTTTAGGCTTTATCATTCAAACGGTCAGGGGTATTTCTTAATAAGAGTACTTCTCACAGCATAATAGTGAGTATAGATAGCGGAGAGTGGTAATAGAAAATGTGTCGGACAAATTAGAAGAATATTGGATTTTTCAGAAGAATATTGGAATACTTTGGAAAATTTTGAAGAAACGAGGATATCTGAAAAAAAAAACAAGAATCTTGAGAAGCGAAAACTTGAAGAGCTTGAGACTGCGGGGACGAGTGAAGAACAGCCAAAGTTTAGGCTATAGGCTTTAGGCGCACAGGGCAAAGCGGCAAAGCTTGGGGTACAAAGGAATCCTAAGATGGCAACAAAAAACCTTGTACGATACTGGGACCCTAAACCCTAAACCCTAAACCCCAAACCCTAAACCCTAAACCCCAAACCCTAAACCCTATCAGGATTTTTTGGGTCCACAAGGTAAGGGGCGATAAACCGAGAAAGCGCGTGAGTTTTGAACTTGCGCATTCTCTGAGCGCGCTGCTGACGCACCTCCGTCTTCCAAAATTCAGGGTTTAGGGTTTGGAGCTTCTCGTTTTGTCAGTCAGAGTGAGATCTCAGCAAAAGCTGCACAAGTGCCAGTTTTCCCAGGAGTTGACTTGAAGGCTCAGACGCATCACGCCGAGTAGAAAACTCCAACCTAGACATCCCTGGGAGCCTATCGACCGTTATCTCTTCACCAATGGGGTGACTTGATTGAAACCACCCCATCGCCCGGCAGAGGCTTTCACAGGAAGCTTTGAAACCTTCCTAACTCCCCAAGCGACCAAAGGCTGGACACCAGACGCATAGCTCTCTCGACGACTGGACTCAACACTGGCGCAGCACGAGTGACTTTGACCAGGGACGAAATCGGTCTACTGAGAACGCCGGTGCACAGATTTGCGGTTAAGCTCAAGGGCTCTTGGCTCAAGGGAGGCAGATCAGGTTGGTTCCATGGTACGATTCCTACCTAAGGCCCACTTACCAAAGCTTCTGAAGATTTTGAGCCAGGCAGCAAAAGCCACCAAACGCAGCCCCTGCACCTAGGACCGATGTGCAGCGGTGGGAAGGACGGAACACGGTTTAGGGTTTAGGGTTCAGGGTTTAGGGTTCAGGGTTTAGGGTTTAGGGTTTAGGGTTTAGGGTTTAGGGTTTAGGGTTTAGGGTTTAGGGTTTAGGGTTTAGGGTTTAGGACTTCCGGAAACATGATGTGGGGGTTTGATTGACCATGCCGGGGGGCCTTTTTGAAGGTACCCTAAACACCGCAACGCCGTAAGGTATCCATGCTAATTTCTCGGGATCAGACTTGGGGTTTAGGGTTTAGGGTTTAGGGTTTAGGGTTTAGGGTTTAGGTCCCATCATCACAATCCAGAAAACCACCTCCCCCCCACCCCCACCCACCCCGCTCGACATTGGAAATGTCACGGAGGGCGCCACGCTAGCCCTAAACCCTAAACCCTAAAACCCAAACCCTAAACCCTAAACCCTAAACCCTAAACAATGAACCCTGAACCCTAAACCCTAAACCCCAAACCCCGAACCCTAAACCCTAAACCCTAGCGCTAGGGGCCCGGCCAGCAAGTTCAAGCTGAATCGAACCTCGGGAGCTCAGGCTCGAGCTGCTCGCTATTGGGTTTAGGGTTGGGTTTAGGGTTTAGGGTTTAGGGTTTAGGGTTTAGGGTTTAGGGTTTAGGGTTTAGGGTTTAGGGTTTAGGGTTTAGGGTTTAGGGTTTAGGGTTTAGGGTTTAGGGTTTAGGGTTTAGGGTTTAGTTTAGGGTTTAGGGTTTAGGGTTTAGGGTTTAGGGTTTAGGGTTTAGGGTTTAGGGTTTAGGGTTTAGGGTTTAGGGTTTAGGTTTAGGGTTAGGGTTTAGGGTTTAGGGTTTGGGTTTAGGGTTTAGGGTTTAGGGTTTAGGGTTTAGGGTTTAGGGTTTAGGGTTTGGGTTTTAGGTTTAGGGTTTAGGGTTTTTAGGGTTTGGGGTTTGGGGTTTAGGGTTTAGGGTTTAGGGTTTAGGGTTTAGGGTTTAGGGTTTAGGGTTTAGGGTTTAGGGTTTAGGGTTCAGCGTTTAGGGTTTAGGGCTTATAGGGCGAAGCTACAAGGGAAGGCGGGTATATTTGCCACAAATTATAAGGCCCTTTTTGTGTGGGGTCCTTCGTCTAAGCGTGCCGTACTACGTCCCAAAAAAGACCCTATATGCTGGAGAGGGTTCACGAACATAGGGGAACCCCGATTTAGATCCCTACTATTTAGTAGGACCCCCTAATAAGAAGGACCCCAGTAAGGTACCCCGAATTTCGGAAACCCTAGACCCGAAACCCTAAAGCCTAAACCCCGAATTTCGGGAACGAAACGACCCCTAACATTAGGGCCATATCCCTATGCTACCATAACTCCTATTCAGGTATGTGAAATCGGCGCAGGGTTCCCAGAAAGAATTTCAGCCGAGAGAGTGTCCAGATCAGCTTTGGGGCGGTTTAGGGTTTAGGGTTAGGGTTTAGGGTTGAGGGTTTAGGGTTCAGGGTTCAGGGTAGGTGCAAGGAGCAGCCTAAGTCTGATAACGATAACTTCTTCGAAGTTCCACATAACAAGAAACCCTAAACCCTAAGCCCCAAAGGCCCTCAACCCTTAAACCCTAAACCCTTAAACCCAAAAACCCTCAACCCTTAAATCTTCAACCCTTAAGCCCTATAACCCTTAAACCCACCAGTTCAAAACGCGGCTCAGAGCGGCCAGTCGCCAGACCCTCATCACAAAGTCGGGAATCTCAGATGCACCTCGGTACTTTCGGGCGCTCTCTCTTGCCGGCTCTCTACACTCCTTGGTTTAGGATTTCTACCTTATACCTATAGGGTTTAAGGAGTTCCTGTAGGTTCCGAAGTTCGTCCGGATGCACTGTATGCAACTCAACCGTGTCACGTCAACTGAGCTTCGTGGTCAGGTCAGCAACTAGAACACCAGGCTCTCATACGGAGCTCACTACTGTACGTAACCAAACGGCGGCATCAAGCTACCACCACTTGGGGTGAGCAGTTGGAGGGCACGAGCACACCAGGAGTAGTTGTGTCCGGCTTGCCCTCCAGCGCACAACGATGAGCAACAGTGCGGCGCATGAGCTCATCGTACTGAACGACGCTCACGAATCCGAGCCAAGGCGCTGTAAGGGCTGCCGCCCGCTCGGCCCTCGCAGCCTTCACGTGCAGTGCTGTGATTGTCACATGTTTGGAAACTAAATGAACCCTAAACGGGTTGAGGGTTCATATGCCTTAATAGGAATTATAGCAGTAGAGTATATGACCCGAATTTTTAGGGGTTCATTTCGCCCCCAAGGATTGCGGACCTCAAGGCGACACTCTCCCGGCGCACGTAGCTAAGCTGGAGTCGCGCACGGCCCCTGAACGATCCTGACCCTGTGAAAAAGTGGAGTCTCAAAACAACCTCTGGATCTCCTAAACCCAAACACCTTCTGAACCGCCTGCAGCACAGCGCATTCGGCGGCCACATCGCGAAAGGCTCCTGCAACAAAAGACTCCTTAAGTGAAGGGCTTGCTCAGCGAAGATGGTCCTTAAACCCCAAACCCTTCACCTTAACCCTAAACCCTAAACCCTACACCCTAAACCTTATAAACCCTAAACCCTAGCCCTAACCCTAAACCCAAAACCCTAAACTCCAAACCTGAACAGATCTGCAGAAGCACGCTGCGAACACTAAAGCCCGCAGGCCTCGGTGGCTGACAAGAAACCAGCCGGACCTGCTCAGGGTTTAGGGTTTAGGGTTTAGGGTTTAGGGTTCAGGGTTCAGGGTTTAGGGTTTAGGGTTTAGGGTTTAGGGTTTAGGGTGCTCAGGGTTGCTCAGGGTTGCTCGGGCTTCCACGGTCAGAAGCACATGGGCATTTCCCAAGATAGGGGTTTAGGGTTTAGGGCTTAGGAGTCCATGTACCCCAAGTAGAATAGAATCCCCCGCCCTCCCCCAAAAAACTCCCAAAGAAGGTTCCCCCAGTTTCGGAAATCCACATATCTTGGAGTCGTGGGGACCCGGCTTGGCTGTTGCAGAATGCTTCAGGCGTCTTCGCTGTCACTGTCACGAATGAGACGGCACGGCCAGTGGGCACATGCGGGCGTGCCTCATCACCGTAAACCGTCTTGGCGCTCATGGCAACCCGAAACCCTAAACCCTAAACCCTAAACCCTAAACCCTAAACCCTAAGCCATCCGAAACACCGGCCTTTGGAAGAGTTTCGGTGGTGCTCGTGACGCAGGGCAAGAGGGTCATGGCCTGGAGGCATTGCGGCGCACACACGGAGTTTCGGGTTTAGGGTTTAGAGGTTTAGGGTTTAGGGTTTAGAGGCTTAGGGTTTAGGGTTTAGGGTTTAGAGGCTTAGGGCTTAGGGTTTAGGGTTTAGGGAACTCCAGCATGCTTCAGCATGCTCATGACTAGGGCGCATGGGCTGCATGGGGGGTAACAGATTCAAGACTTCATCAACTTCCTCTCCCAAACATCCAGGCTGCAAAGCTTGGCGCCGCAACGCTAAGCTGGGGGCGATGGGCAGCAGCCGCCAAGAAGCGGTAGCGTTCGTGGTCAAATCTCTGCTGCAATGCTTTGGGGCTCTGCTCTGGATTGCTCAGCTCTTCGATTCTCCATGCCTCAATGTAGCTCAGAGCAAAAAGCCTGCGAGTGGTTTAGGGTTTAGGGTTGAGGGGTTAGGGTTTGGGGTTTAGGGTTTAGGGTTTAGGGTTTAGGGTTTAGGGTTTAGGGTTTAGGGTTTAGGGTTTAGGGTCATTTTGCCAGAGCGCCTCACAATAAGCTCGACTGTTCCAGAGATTTCAGGCAACATGAGTTGACGATGATCAACTGCCAAGTGCCGGCCTCAAACCGGACTGCCGAGCCCTAAACCCTAAACCCTAAACCCTAAACCCTAAACCCCAAACCCGAAACCCGAAACCCTAAACCCTAAACCCTGAGGGGCCCCTGCGCAGCATTGGACACCGCCGCACGCTGCATGGGCGTCAGCGCCGCGACGAGGTTCGCGACCTCTTCCTTCTCGTGGCCTGGCTCTGCCTGTGGGTTGGGGGGGTTTAGGGTTTAGGGTTTAGGGTTTACGTAGGGTTGCAAAACGAACTATCAAGGACCCCCGATATGAACGCTTGTTGATGTTGGCTCTGGGGGGGGGGGGCCATCATTCATGCCTCTACTTCCTATTAAGGCATTTTGCATGAACCCTAAACCCTAAACCCTGAACCCTTTGGTTTGGGGAGTCCTGGACAAATTTCAGTGTGTCGGCCTTGACCTCGGCGTCGCAGGCCTCGTCTGCCTCGGCAGCGTCAGTCTTGGGGACCGATTCTGAACTCAACCTTGGGGACGAAATGAACCCCAAAAGGGTTTATGGTTCATATACCTTAATAGGAATTATAGTAGTCAGGATATATGACCCCGATTTTAGTGTCCATTTCGTCCCCAAGGAAGGGACTAGGAGGGACCCGTACAAGAGAGTTTAGGGGTTATTTGGGGGCTACTTAGGTATATAAGGACGGAAAAAAAAAGGTATATAGAGGGGCTATGAAGGGAACAAGATTAAGGGTCCCTTCGAGGGGTCTCTCCGTTTACCCCTTAATGAACCCTCAAAGGGTTTAGGGTTCACATAGCCTTAACAGGGGTTGTAGTAGCATGATGAGGGCATATATGGCTCACTTACCTTCATGGGGGTTGTGTATAGTATAGGGTACATGACCCCAAATCTTAGGGCTCATTTGTGCAAAGAGGCTGCCGGGATTTTGCTGGACTCAAAGGTATGCAGCTTGTAAGCTTCGGAAGACTACACTATCTATCACACCACCCAGCGTTTAGGGTTGAAAGTTTAGGGTTTAGGGGGTACATTCATGCTACAATATCTCTCTCCCTCACACCCCACCAGGACAGCCACACAAAATGTCTGCAAATCACCTCATCAGACGCGGCGCAACCAGGAACCTTCTGTACACTCAGAAACACCAATAGTAAGTAGCCGACCTCATAAAACTCCATGAAGCCAAAAGAATGATGAAAAAAAAACTAAACCACAAACCCAAAACCCTAAGCCCTGAGCCCTGAGCCCGGAGCCCTAAGCCCTAAGCCCTAAGCCCTAAGCCCTAAGCCCTAAGCCCTAAGCCCAAAGCCCTAAGCCCTAAGCCCTAAGCCCTAAGCCCTAAACCCTAAACCCTAAACCCTAAACCCTAAACCCTAAAGCCCGAGCCTCATCGCGCGCAGCTGCAAAGTCGGGCTTGCCCCCGGCGAGTTCGGCACACTGCGACAGGAGCTCCTCCGCCATTGTTTGCTGGGTGACTACGATCCCAGAGAGCCCAATACTCCTTAATGAAGGAATATACCTTAACTTATGTAGGGATCCTTAATATCATTTCAGGAATTTTCACCTTAAATTATAAAGGGATCCTTAATGTGATTTAAGGAATATTCCTTAATTAAGGGGTATTGGGCTCTTTGGGAAATGGGCATCATGCTGGCGGCACGATCGTTCCCTTGACACACTGACTGTCACCGATCGAGAGCACGAAGCAGCAAAGCACCAGCGAAGTCCTGTTTCCTGGGCCTTGGTGAGAAAAAGACTTCGATGCTTCTGTACATGCCTAAAAATGTCCTCGCAGTCCGATTCATCAAGGCATTTCCCAAAATAGATTAGACCGAAAAACTACTATAATCCTCAATCTAGGAACCCCCGAACAAGGCACAACCGGAAAACCCACACAGTTACGACTTCTTCGAGGTCCCTGCTCGCATGTCGCCCACCATGACTCAACAAGAACGCCTGGAGACGGCTAGGAAAACCATGAAAGTTCAGGTGTTAGGGGTTTAGGAAGGCATTGCCAAACGAGATCACTGACAGTCATCTACTGGAATCTCGTCTGTCCACCTGCTACGAGTGGGTATCCCACCTTGTAGGATGCGATTGTAGGGGCCGGCCTGACCGGATGCAGATGACATGACTCGGTCAACAGTTAGCCCTGGGTAGCGTCTTGGAAACAAATACTAATCATGTGTGGAGGGGGGCGGGGGGTCCTAGAATATAGGGAAGTCCTTCTGGGTTGGGGAGGGCTCTATAAGGGGGGCCCTGATGTTGGGAAAACACCCTTATCCGAAGCTCACAACCCCCGCGCGCCGCGACTTCTGAAACTCTTCCCCGCAACCCCTCCTCAGGTATTGATGCTGATATTAATCCTGAAAAAAGGTTGCTATGAAAGCCGAACTAAGCTAGAATCAAAAACATGCCAGAGGGAAGCGGACAGGGCAGAGGCAAGGTGTGCTTTGTCATTTGCTGGAACTTGGTATTCGGGAACGCCGGAAAGCATCCCATGGTCGGAAGTTGATGGCGTGCAGATTTCGATTCTTGGCTCCGGCTGAAAACGTCAACACCGGCGACACAGGCGGGCAAAATGGCTCACCTCCATGCCATAAACATGCACCCAACAAAGTAGGGTTTAGGGCTTGTCGTCTGGCTGAACAAGATGTTCTGAAAAACTGAATTGAAAAACTGAATTTAACGAAGGAGAAATGGGGGTCTACGATATTAGGGGTACCTTACGGGGTCCTTCTTATGAGGGCGATTCCCAAACCCCCAATCCAACTTTGCATGCAGGTTCTCTCCCTAAGAAGCCTTTGGCCGCAGGAGCGCGCGCAGCGCCTCGCTGTTGCGCACAGGACTCGAGAGCACCGGGGCTGCGGGGCCAAAAACAAATTTGGGTGGGTTTAGGGTTTTCGGTTAAGGGTTTCGGGTTTAGGGTTTCGGGTTTTCAGAGCTTATAGGGTTTGGGGGGGGCTGCAGGCGAGGCCTCTCGCTGTCGAGATGCCACGCCGGCATAGATCGCCTTGGGATGTTTCTGGATCTCGGGGGACCGTTGGGGGCTCCCATCAACTTCTATAGTCAAGCCCGGTGCAGCCAAACACGTGGTGCCATCATTTCGAGCACTGCTATGGTGGACATACCTGGGACCCTCATTACCTACAGGTTTATGGGTTATAATATGTACTAATTAAGGGTAGATACTGCAATAAAGTGTAGGTAAATGGAGTCCCAGGCGGCGTCCTCTTAACTGGGGCATAAACGGGAAATCTCTACATTGGGTAGTTAGTAATTACTGCGCCCTGCATCTGGGTCACGGGCAAGAGGTCGGCAGCGCAAGCGCGCGGGAATACCAGACTCAGAGGCCGTATACCTCAAGAATTTGATGTCTTTGCCTGAAGTCTGGGTCTCAGATAGATAGATGTTAGGGTTTTCGTGGTCAGGCTCAGGGTTTGTAGGGTTTCATGGCAGGAAGAAAGGTTTCAGAAACCGTTACGCCCTCGTGTGCATTCAAGCGCGCTCTGTATGTAATTACAGTTGCCTAAACCCTAAACCCTAAACCCTAAACCCTAAACCCTAAACCCTAAACCCTAAACCCTAAACCCTAAACCCTAAACCCTAAACCCGCTGGGGCCACCGGCCTCAAGGCCTCCACGAGAGGGACTGTGGATCCATTAGCGCCCAACACGGCCTGAGTAGCACGCGCCGCGCTTAGAGAGCCGAAATCCCCATCCTTGGTTTCGGGTTTAGGGTTTAGGGAACCCGAAAATTGGGGTCATATACCTTGGCGACTGTAAATCCTAGTAAGGTCTAGGGTTCACTTTGTCCCCAAGCCTCAGGTGGCCTCTGCCGATTTCTTTCGGGAGTGTCGAGTGAGCGCATGCAGACCCAAGTTAAAACAAAACTCGGGCGTATCAAAACGACTTTGAGTCAGACCTTGCTATCTGAGTGCGACGGTCACAGCGTCCGCCAGAAGCACTGAAAAGGCAAAACCTTGGCCCGCCACCCGCACGACCATCTTGGTCTCGTCCAAAGCCTGGCTCCGGAATAAAAAGGCCATCCTCGGGAACCAATTATGAACCGGTTTAGGGTTTAGGGTTTAGGGTTTATAGGGTTTAGGGTTTAGGGTTTAGGGTTTAGGGTTTAGGGTTTAGGGTTTAGGGTTTAGGGTTTAGGGTTTAGGGTTTAGGGTTTAGGGTTTAGGGTTTAGGGTTTAGGGTTTAGGGTTTAGGGTTTAGGGTTTAGGGTTTAGGGTTTAGGGTTTAGGGTTTAGGGGTACCAATTCTGAACCCTAACGGGGTTTATGGTTCAGCATTAACTTTCATAGGAATTCTAGTAGTACAGGGCATCTGGCCTTCAATTTTAGGATTCATTTGGCCTCCAAGGATGAGACACTCGTGTGTTCGCAATGTGAGAGTTGCGCAGAGATCAGCCTGCAGGTGTTTAGGGTTTAGGGTTTAGGGTTTAGGGTTTAGGGTTTAGGGTTTAGGGTTTAGGCAGACTTTTTCAAGCTGTGCAGAAACGCTGTCACCCTACCCTGCAGAACCACAATTAACATTTGAGATGTTCTTAAACGATTCCCTTGGGTTCTATGTCAACAGAAGGTACAACAGAACTTCCCGTGAGATTTCGGGTCGAGCGCTAATAAAAAAAACATTACTATTGCCCTAAACCCTAAACCCTAAACCCCAAACCTCAAACCCTAAACCGTATGAGTACTGCACCTGCTCCTGCGGCTCCCCTCGGGATGAGACCAAAAAAAGGGGTCGCCAGGATACCAAAGGGCCTATACGGTTTCACTCGCATTCTTGGTTTTTTTGTAAGATTCCATGCTTTTTTTGTGGGTCTTACCTCAATGGGGAAAGTCTGCAAAAACCCTAAACCCCAAACCGTCATAGCGTGACAATCAATGGGCTTCCGGTCGCCCGACAGACTCAGAATCGGCGGGCCTCGCAGAGCAACCACCCGCTCTCCTGCGGGTTGGAGGTTTAGGGTTTAGTTTTAGAGTTAGGGTTTGGGGTTTGGGGTTTAGGGTTTATGGTTGGGTTTAGTTTTAGGTTTAATGTTTGGGGTTTGGGGTTTGGGGTTTAGGGCCGGCGAGTTGGATGGGCTTGTGGAACCTCCCTTCTTACCTCCTTACACCCCCAAATTTTCGCGAAGGCCCCCGCAACCCGCACCGTGCGATTTCAAGGACCATGGGAGCTGGCTGGGCACCCTGGGGGTTTAGGGTTTAGGGTTTAGGGTTTAGGGTTTAGGGTTTAGGGTTTAGGGTTTAGGGTTTAGGGTTTAGGGCTGAATCCCTCCTGACCTCTGGGACGACCCCTACTACCCTACTACACTTGAACTTGGTGGGGGTTCCGTGCCAGGATCACCTCGATGGGCCGGTCCGATCCCAAAGGATGGGGATGATCCCCAAAGGGGATCCCTCTCCAAGGGATAGTTGGGGCCCCAAGTTGGGGTTTAGGGTTTAGGGTTTAGGGTTTAGGGTTTAGGGTTTAGGGTTTAGGGTTTAGGGTTTAGGGTTTAGGGCCCCGCAACCCGCGCATCATGAGCATCAGCTGGCTGGTCGGCTCGCTTCCGCCCTTGGCCTTGCGCATCAGGGTCGCTAAGACAGCCAGCGTCACCAGCATGTCTCCGCTGCCTTGGCGGATTTAGGTTGTTTTGTGGCTCCAAACAAACGTGAACTGCCACAAACACAGTGTTTTTTTCGCAAGTTTTCCGCACATGCTGGCCAGGCGCTGTTGTCTTAAAACAAGTCCATTATGAGGCATCTCGCATCAATGAGCATCAGCCCTTGGCGACACCCACCACGCATCATCAGCATCAGCAGGCCACGGTCAGCATCATCAGCTGGAGTCCTCCCCCCTCTCCACCCCCCCTCCCCCGCTTCCCTCCTTCCGGCGCGCATCTTGAGCATGAAGAGTCTGCCCTCTCCCCATCCCTCCCCCCCCCCCTCCTCCCCTGTCAATCTTGGGGAGTGGCCGCTGATGCGCCGCTAAGCATTTTTCGATTTCTCCGCCGTCAAACTACCTCAAGCACCCCACAACCTACCTTCATTCGGACACCTAAGACTTCTCTACGTGGTTGTTGTGAAAATAAACTACGACGATGTCGGCTCTTGCGCTCTGAGTTGTAAGCTATCCTTGGGGTTGGGGACTAAATGAACCCCAAAAGGGTTCAAGGTTCACATACCTCAAGAGGAATTATAGTAGTCAGGGAATGTTGACCCCACTTTTGGGGGGGTTCAATGTAACCCAAGGATCATACACCCCTACTACTATAATTCCTATTTAGGGATACTATGAACTATAAGCCCTTGCACCTTAAGAACCCAGAACCTACATTTTTGTAGGTCATTATTGCAAAAGCCATTGTAGGATTCTTAGGTAACCTACTTTTTTTGTAGGTTTTGGGGTTATTATTAATAAGGTAGGGTTCATTTAGTCCCCAAGGCCATGACGCACCGTCAATTA